ATTGCTCTGTACACTGAGACCCTGCAATTCTACTTCTACAGCATTATTCTAGGGTACTAGGATAGTTTCATAAAAACATGTAATGAAGGAGATAGCACAGGGTTATTACAGTGGAGTTCTGGGTAGCCGGTTCTAAAGTGTGTGCGTGTGTGTGAGAGTAAATAAAATCTTCAGTGAAAGAGATCTTCAAGAAGAGGCAGTAGACCTCTAGATCCAGAATGCTTGACTTTGAATCCCAGCTTTTTAAATTATTAGTTGTGTGAACTTAAATAAATTACTTAACATTTCTGTGCTTGGGGTAATGATATGTATCCCAGATTACAGATTAATGAGATTATACATTCACAGAACTGTATATGATTTGTTGTATGAAGTCTGGAGGGATACAGAATAGCATGTAGTTTGAGTCCACTTTTGTAGGAGAAAATGTACATAGCTATACATAGGCTTCTATCAAAATCTACAAGGCTATTTGCCAAAATGTTAACAGCATTTATCTGTGGCTAGTGGCACTGACAAATTAGGTTTTAACAAATGCTCTGTGTAGACTCAATTTTTCTTAACATTCAACATACATTGCTTTTATAATTAGAAAATAATTCTTACCAGCTGCTGTCAGGAGAAGAAGAAAAAGATAATTCTACTTAAAATAACTCTTAGGGTTGGGCAGTTGGAGCAGTGTTTAATCCTGTAAATGTAGCTTCATAAGATCTGGTCCTATATTAAAGTTTAAATGTAGCTTCTATAAAATCTGGCCTTGTATGGAACCAGAGCTGAAGAGCTTGAATGGGGATCAAACACTGCAACTTGATTCAAGTCCCTTCATTAGGAGGAAAGTTCTCCAGGTGAACTGCCAACTCCCGCTGCAAGGCCCTGAGAACAACTCGAAACTGACAGTGTTGTTGGGTTCCTTCCTGCCCATCTGAATGCCAAAGCTGTGGGAGCTTACCTGCTGTTTACTTCTTGAGGCCCAAGTCCTAAGAGACAAATTAAGTGCCTGCCGTGGATATGAACAGGCCTGGGTCAAAGCTTCACCTCCCACACACAGCTAAGTATTTTTGGACAAGTCACTTAACCTCATGTGAGGCTATTTCCACAGCTGTATAAAATGAGGAAATAACTACTTTTGATTATTGAGAAGTCAAAGATCTGGTTTGTGGCAAATGACACAGTAATACACTATGTGTGAATTATTTTCTCTCTCTGGGCCTCAGTTTTCTCACCTTTAAAATGGGGGACATTAGTGCTTTATAAGGTTACAGGTATTAAACTAGGAAAAGTCAAGATTAAGTCCTGAATAAATGACATACTTTTTTACTAAGCATCATCTCCCTGTACCGAGGGCACTCCTCTTGCTCCCAAGAATAGCCAAGGCCATTTTTTTTTCCTTAGGAGAAAGGGTAGGGCTAAAGGTCTCCCCCTAGGATCCAACTCCAGAACTCTGCAGAGATGGGCCTGCATCCCAAGGCCTCTGAGACCTCAGTCTGCACACACTGTTCTTTTGCCTGATGCTCCACCTTTTGGAAGCCAAAGCTGCCAGCTTGGCCTCTTGCAAAACACACATTCCATTCATAAGTGCGTTTGTGCATTTTTCCTCCCACACCCTTCTAGGCAGCCAGCACAGAGCTGCCAAGGCAGCTGCTGGAGAAGCAGCTTCTTCTTATGGGAGAAAAGCAACTCCAAGGGCTTTTACACCATTCCTGTTTAGGCTTTGAACACATTACTCCCATTTTCTGGTCTCCTTGCCCATAGTGGAGTTGTTCATTTCTTTTTGTCTCCCTTTTTGTAAATAACCTCTTCCCTATTATAAAGGAAACCTATTAATGAAAATTTGAAAAATACAGAAAAATTTAAATCACAATTGATCCCACCATCCAATGACTGCCCATATTTTATAATTCTATTTTTTCCATGATACTGTTATTCAAAAGCAGTTTTAATAGCTATATAATATTCTAGCATTGATGCATGCCATAATTTCTAAAACAGTTCCTTTTGACATTAAAGTTGTTCCCAAATAATGCTGCCAATGATATCCTTGCACATACATCCTTGGCAGCTCTTTTAGGAAAAGTTCCTAAGTGAAATTATTGGCTTAAAGAGTATGAATACATGCTTTTAATTCCAAAAAGGCTTTTACTGTTTACTAGCATAGATTTCAAATTTTTGCTAATTTAAGTTTTTCATTGTATATTTATAATATCTGTTTATTTGAAAATGTGTTAGATTGACAACCTGCTTTTTTCCCCAGGTTTTTGGTCAATTATTTTTCCTAAGTGAGCTGTGCATATATCCCTTGCCATTTTTCTGTGGGGAAGCCAGGTACTTTTCCATACTGAAGTTTTAAGAGCATCTTATGGATTCACTATAGTATAGTGTCTGTTTATAAACTATTAAAAATTTTGGTTTGCTCTTTTTTTTATATGGAGTCTCACTGTCGCCCAGGCTGGAGTGCAGTGGCAATCTCGGCTCACTGCAACCTCCACACCCCGGGCTCAAGCAATTCTCCTGCCTCAGCCTCTCGAGTAGCTGGGATTACAAGCACCTGCCACCACGCCTGGCTAACTTTTGTATTTTTATGAGAGACAGGGTTTCACCATGTTGGCCAGGCTGGTCTCGAATTCCTGACCTCAAGTGATCCGCCTGCCTTAGCCTCCCAAAGTGCTGGGATTACAGGCGTGAGCCACCGTGCCCAGCAGTTTGCTTTTTAAGGTACATCATTTTATGTTTAGTCTTTTGTGATTTCTTCTATTTACTTTTATGCTTACAAAGTCCTGACTGCTTGTCTGCTTCTGCCCCTCCCAAAAAAAAAAAAAGTCCTGACTGATCTCTGGATACAATGACAAGTTAATGTATTTCTAATGATTTAATTTCTATACTTCATAGCCTTATTTTTCTTGGAATTTATTTTGGCATATAATAACTTTCTCCCAAATATTTAGGAAAGTTTACCCAATTATCTATCTTTACTTACCCAATAAAGGAGGATGCTCCTTTATAAGTCCATGTGTATACTAGGGCCAGTATACATGTTTTCTTCTGTCTTGTTCATGTAGTGGTACCACACTATTGTGTAGCTCTATAATATACTAGCAGTTTTAGCAGCACCACGCCAGATAAGCACAGGGCCCATGGAGAGTCCCCATCAGCATGGATTGCAAAACACTGTAGAGTTAAGATGCTTTGCTGCTGACTGCACTGGTGCTGCTACATTCCACCAGGACTTTTTCAGCACCTGAGTCAAGAGATGGGATAAGGGCCAGAACACCGAACAGAATGTTAAACTCAGGTAGGAGCCTTATGCTTTTAAGATAGGGCATCCTCAGAAATCAACATAAAGGAAGGGAAATGGAGAGGTTAGGCAAGCTCCCTAATCTCATCAGGCAGACTAACCCTTTTTGACCTACGTCAAAACTCAGCTAGAAGGATGACTTCCAGAGCTAACCCAGCCATGTGCTTCAGCAACTGGATTCGGAAGGAGGGAAGCCAGTACTGCAGCTCTTCCATACTCCTCAGACCCTCAGCACTACTTTCAGTGCACCTTTCTTGCTACAAAGCATTCCACATGCAGTCAAGTTCGTCTGGTAACTAAAGTTGTTTGCCCATCATCTAATTGAAAATTGGATTTCAGCTGTATATAATATATACAGCCTGTGACAGCACTTTGAATAGCCCAGGCTCTATACAAGCCCCCCAGTCAGTATCCTTCGACTTTATTTTCCAAACCTATTTGTAAGGCTCTGGTGGGCTCCATAACGCAGAAATGCCAAAGCACGGAAGAAACAAGCCCAAGAGCCAACTGGGCAATGTTTTTGAGGTATACTTTTTTTTCCTCTTTTTCTTCCAATTAACTGCATTCGTCTGTTTTCATAGGAGGTATACTTTTTAATGAGGAAAACGTCACCCCTTAGATTTCCTTGCAGCCCCTACCTGGTCCTATCCTAAGTAATGAGGGAGGAAGAGAAAAGAAAATTCCAGTTCACTGAAGAAATCTCAGAAACCTCTCCCTAATTAGAGAATATAGACATGAATTCCAGAGCCTTTGCAACTGAAAAGAAAAAGAAGGTCTACTCCCACCACCATGCTTATTTTTACAAGATACCAACATGAGGCTGGGAATCTTTGGGGAGGCCATCAGGGCCTCCATGAAAGAAATGTGTAAGATGGCCAGTCAAGAGCTTTCCAGAATGTAAACAATAACTAGACAGAAAATACAATGGAAGGAAGCTAAGGGTCATAAGTGGTCTAATCATGCGTCTAGAGTGTTAACAGGCAGATGGGAATTCCCAGGGATCATGTTAGTCTGAGCTTCTTCCCCCATCCCCAATTTGGCACAGAGGAGCTGTGACTTAATGAAAGGTCATGTATGACCATGCCAACCCCCATCTCCTATTTTCTGGTTTCCCTGCATCACTCACCTAACATTCCTTTGGAGAACCTTAAAAGAGTTTGTAATGTTTGAGCACTTATGTGTCTTAGGGACTTTATCAACGCTTTTAAATTCTAGCACTCTGACGGAAGCAAGAGTTTTTTTTTTTTTTTTTTTTTAATTTTACAGATAAGTAAAAGGAAACTTAGAGGTTCACTATCTTGCGAAAGGTCAGATAGCAGTGGCATTCGACAGTTAAAGCTAGACACAGCTTGTTTCCTTTGCCTTACTCACTGTGATACTGTTAAATCTAGGGGTCATGCATTTAATATAGTGCTTAACTTCACTTTTTATTCCTCATGAGAATTCACATCAGTTGCTAAGGTTAGACTATTTTGGCAGTGGCCCTGTGAAGACTTACTTGCTCATTGCCTCTAAGCACTGAGACCCCTAAAAGCCACCCTATTCAGTTTGGTATGTGGGAGGTCAACACTCATGTTTGGAGTCTGAAGATCCTGTACTTATCTTGATTATTTTTCAAAGAATAAAAATTGTTACTCAATATGTTGGCAGAAGCTCCCAGTGGGTAAATTTTGCCCCAGAATAAAGTCACTTTTTTTTTTTAGAAATATCAATAATCAAGTAAACAAATTTATTAAATCCAACAGCAGGTAACCTTCCAAATAAAAAACATTAAAGGAAAAAATGTAGACATCAAAGACAAAAATGTGTGTAACAAGTCAATAAAAATACTCAAGGGGCCATTTGGAGAGTGCAACAGTGCAGCGAATACAAACAAAAGTATTAACTTTTGTTAAGTTTGTACAACCTCAACAAATAGACACACTGGTCACAAACCAAGAGGGATTCACAAAGGTGGAGGGTCACATGAGCAGTGGACTCATCACCTCAGAGGCTTAAGGCAGGGTATATCTGTGGGACCAATTCATCTAAGCCCCATTTGCCTATTGCTTTACATTCCCCCTTTAAAACCTAGAGTCAAAAAAAAAAAAAAATAGAGTCATATTCATTAGTGCAACAGGTAAGAGCAATTAATCACAGACAGGGCTGGGGAGCAAGGTCAGAGGGAAGACACTTCTCCCAGAGCAAATGTTTGCGTGTCAGTGGGGATGAAAAACCGCAGCAGCTGCTGAATGGCTTCCTTTGGCAATATCCAAGATTTGTGTTGAAAGAAGCAGGGACGTTAGATGGGTGGTGGAAGTAGGTATCTATGAGATAGGCTGGGTTTCCAAGAAGAATAGGGAGGACATGATGCCCAGCACCTGAATCAGAATTAGAACCCAATGGTTATGCAAAGCTATTTAAACTATTTTGGCTTCTGGAACCAGTGCTCAAGAATCTATTTTGTCTTTTGAAAAGGGGGAAAACCCCTGCTGATCCTCACCAACATGCAGTTCCAGTCCAGTTTAAACTGGATATGTAATTACGGCTTACCATGAGAATAAACTGAAGGTAGGTGGATGGGAACCTCCTTTAAATGATCAGAAAACACACTGTGGAATAAGGAGGATCAATGTTGCTTTTCCTCAGTGAGTCCCAATTAACACAATTCAACAGCCTAACAGTCCTTTCAGCTGTTTAAACAAGATACTGCTGGAGTCCTCCAAGGAAGATCTGTCATTTACCAAGATGTTCAAGTCCCCCAAGGAAGACCTTTGTCAGTTACCAAGATGCTCAAGTCATAGCTAACCAAACATGAGAGAAAGAAAAAAATAGCAAAGCAGTCAAGTAAAAGGCAACAAAAACCTAGCAGCAGCTTCTTTCCATGCCTTACTTTATAATTGCATAATTGAATCTAACTTTTGGGCTTTGCTACACTGAAGACCTCATTTGGAATCTGGCAAACTGAACACTCGTAAATGGTGTAAAAGTAATTGTGGTTTTTGCCTTACTTTTGCACCAACCTAACAGATCTGTTTTGGTTTGCAAACTTGTAGACAAGTTCTTACCCCAGTAACTTCCCACCTCTGTTTAATATAGTTTGGCAGGGTATATAGTATATGAGGCCATCAAGTGTACTATGGGGTCCCACATCCTACAGCCTCCAGCATTCGGGACTAAATTTTGGCACCAGCCCCTGGAGATCAATACTGCTTCAAAGACTAATATTCTGTGGCTTAATCCTTTCTTACTTTCCAAAAAGACTAGTTTGTGCCTTCCTTAGGAAGTTTAATATTGAAAACACTGTCTTGTGCATTTTCAATTGTTATTTTCTTGGGCACGGAGGTTTGGTTAAAATTTAGATCTTCACCCAGCTCTAGATTCGTCTTCCCTTATCAGAAGGGCAGACATGGGTTCCTGGACCCAACTCCCACAGGTGGGCAGCACTTCACCTGCTGAGACAACCAGCTGAAACACAGCAAAGGCCCTTATAGGAGGTGGGATTAGAATGATACATTCGGATTTGGCAAGGATGGGGGAAAGCGCATGCAATGAAGCAGCACGTCATCTCATACCAGCCTTCTAATAAATTGCTAAAGAAACATCACAGAAGCTCACAGACAAAGCCATTTGTCAAAACCAAGTTATTTCTTATTTCCCAACGGTTTGTTGTCACCCTCAGATGCTGCCAATTTCCAAAGTGGCATCCACATCCTGCCCCTCTCCACATCACCCTGATGTTATATTGCTAAGCAAGGAGTATACTAGCTTACCTGAGGGGCACGCATTCGGTCTCTTTCACAGACTTACTGCTCACTCATTAAGTGGCAAACCTATTTCTAGGTTGAAAGGAACAAGGCTTTTCATTTCCCAGAAGTATAACTTCAAACACTACACACATCTCACCTTGGATCCCTTTGCAGAAAAAAACTGCATTTCTTGTGGTCATGAGAGCATTGGCCCAGAGCTACTGCAGAAGCTTGAAATCTTTGCTGAGTATCAAGTACTCAAACTTGGAAGGAACTTGTAAGTCCCTCCCTGACTGCTCCCTTTTCTGGCTTCTCCTTTGCAAATGGATTAATATAACCAAAAAATAACTAAATGGCTTTTGTGGTGGGGGATGAGGAAGCTAAATAGTTAATTTTAAAAAACAACAAAATCCACCCACTCTAGTATAACTAATGCATGGAATGTCTTCTTACAGGATGGGGAAGGAACCTAGTTTCTCCAGAGTACTCAGGGTCCTGGGTTGCCTTCCTCTTCTGCGTGCCTCTCTCTCTGATACACCCTGATCTGGGATGGAAAGGGCCTTATCTGGCCAAGAGCAGCCTGCCTTTTCCCTCAGTCAACCACTACCCAATCCAGAACCAGAAAAAATGAGTTGCAAACTGGCTCAATAAAAAAGCGGCCATTTTAAAACCTCAGTCTGGGTATCCCTGCTACAGAAGATCCTACAGAACCTGCTGGGACCCCTGGAGACTTATTCAGGAGTCTTATTTAGCTAGAACAGCAGCCAGGCATCTGGGGCAATACTGTACCCTGGATGAGCTTAAAGTTTCCCATTTGCCCCTGTGAAAGAGGAACTGTCAGGATTAGGATTAAAAAAATTCCAAGTATGTTCCCTATTGTCAATATCAATTTTAGAAAAATACTGACTGCCAAAACTCTTTAATCCTTAAGATGGGAGCCCAGAGCTGTAAGCTATTCACAATGGAACTCAAAACATGCAATTCCTGCCCAGGCTGGGAAACATTCCTGGGAGGTAGAGGGGTATTCGTTAGGGGAGAAACCTCCAAATGTTTAATAGACAAAGTCTCATCACCTCAAAAGTATAAAATATTTTTATAAGTTTTTATTTAAAAGATTCCCTTTTTAATCTGTTCCAAAGTGTTGGAAGCTGAACTATACAAGTTCCTGCCACCCATCCTTCCAGTACAGTTTTCTGAGGACATACTTTTTAAATGGAAAAATAACAGGAGGACCCTCCAACTGAAACTGGGTAGGACCAAAGTCAGCTCCTCAGGCCCCTCTGGCAGTTTGGCCAAAGCTGGCCTTACGGAGCTGGCACGTGGAGAAGTCTGGGGAACCAGGCCCTCCCTCCCGTGAGGAAAGGGCTAAGCCAACTCCTCTTTAGTGAAAATGGTCCAAATTCAGATCCAGAAGCCTCCATTATGGCATTCCCTGGCACTCTTATACTTTATACATTGAAGGCAGCTCCCTCTTTTATGGCCAGTTTAAACAGGCAAAGAAACAAAGGAATATAGATACATATATGTGTATATATATATATTTTATATAGGTAAAATATATACATATTTTATATATGTATATATACATATTTGGGGGTAGGGAAAGGAGAGGAGGGTCATGTAAACCTAAACAGTCATCACATTACCCCAACTGAGCCTGACTTTAACAAAAAGATAATAAATAACTCCTGGGGGTTACGTGACAACATGGGTGCAGCAAGAAGGGAAAGGGCACAAATTTAACTATTAAATACACTTTGATATTTGTTTGGCAGAGTTCAGGCCAACCCCAGGCTTCTGCCCTTGCCAGACAAGTAAGCTGATGATACTCAAAGAAAAAACTAAACTAAAAAAAAAAAACAAACTTAAATTCAAGCAGAGCTCCATACCACAGTTTTCCTTCAAGTCAGTTGGCCGGCAGACAGTTTCCCGACCACCAGGAACAGAAACTTTGGCTCCAAGGCAAATGAAACAAACAAACAAAAAAAAGTATTTCCACTTACAACATGAAAATACAGAAACTTCATCAAAGAAAGAAAACTATCAAAGAAGTCTACTTCCAGCAAAACTGAGGTAGCACTGCTTTCTCTGCATTCAATGCTTAAGTGGTTCTCAGTACGTGTTCTTAAAAAATGCTCACTTGACTGACAGGTGCAGCATGTTGATGGATAAACTCAACATGAAATGCAATAGGTCAAAGAAGGAATGAATGAGCAAGAAGTGAGGGAAATACGGGTTCTGGATAAATTAGCTTAAAGGGGGGTTGTCACCAGACTACAAATGCTCTTGGCTGGCCATGGCTCTCCAAGAGCTCTAAATTGCCTGGTAATTAATGCAATGTGGCTAACAGTTAACACTGCTATTCAAATCTGTGTAAATCTTTAAAAATAATTATTACAACCTAAATTCAACCATGTAAACAGCACTACACACAGTACAGACCTGCCCTGAAAAACAATATGCAAAACTGAGATCTGGCACTGTATCATTTTGTAATGTTAATTCAACCTAACAGTCCCATCCCCCCTCCCTGTTCTAAACCCTCCCCCACAAAAAAAAAATCTAATTTGTGCAAGAAATGGCAGGCTTATTCTATCTGAAGGCTTCAAAAAAAGATACACAACATGTAGCCAGGTTCAAATATTTTGGGAGATCTCCCCCCAAAACAGAAATAACCAAAATAACCAAAAAATGAAGAAAGTGCCTAAAACTTGATACAGCATTTTAGAGCCCTTTCAGATACAAGGCAGAGAAAGGTGTAAAGTAGAAAATATCCGGATCTTCAGTAATTTCCAAAAAGGTCCAATCCCTCGGTTGGCTGCAGGGCAGCGGGCAGATCCTTGCTGCTGCTCCTGGGACAGAGCCACTAAGTCTGCTCCTCGGGACACAAGCCCTCGGGCCCTGAGCTGAGTGCACCTCTCCCTTCCCCTTCTCTTTTCCTTCGCTCCATTTCCCACTCCACAAAGGTGTCAAAGAGACTTGGCCAGGCCTCATCTTCACTATAGTTGCTGAGGTCAGGGCCAATCACCTGAGTGAAGTTAAGGAACATGTTCCAAGTGTCCCTGGAGATGCCTTTGATCCCCGAGGGGTTCTCTGTTAGGAAGTTTAGCCATTGGTCCAATACCGGAGGATTGTTCTGGGTAAAGACTAGTTTCCACAGGGCAATGGCTATTTCCCGATGCAGTGACCGCTGCCCTTCTTCAGAGTCCAGGCCAAACTGAAATGTAAACCGATAGAGATCCTTGAATTTATCTTCTTGTTTGGCTTCTGTTAAGAGGCTAGGGAACCGTGCACAGATTCCGTCAATGCTGTCTGCACTTATTGCTTTGCAGCCATCAAAAAACTCCTTCCTGCAACAGAAAGAAGAAAGTACAATTAATAATTACAAACGATACCATTTAATTTACTGAGCAGTAATATAGCATAGTAATTAAGAGTAGGGCTTTCTGCCAGATGGTCTGGATTTGAACTCCAACTCCTCCAACTAATTAGTCTTATTTCCTTATTGGTCAAATGGTAAAAATACCACCTTCATACGGTTTTGGTGAGGACTAAACAAATTAATACTCTGCTGCTAACAGTGCCTGGCAGACAGTGGGCAGCTGATAATGGTTCATTTATTCATTCATTCATCTTCCCGAAGCTAAAATCAAGTCTCCTGCTCCCTCCCGTTTCTCTCTCTGCAATAGCGATTAAGCTGTGGATTCTTTCTGCTTCCAGAGGAGGAGGCTTCCTGCTTCCCTTCTGATTCTCTATGGGTTGTTTGTTTGGGGTATATTTTTAGTGATTGCCAAGGGAGACTTTTGGGGCCAAGGATTCCGAACCTGGGTAATTCTACCACCAGAAGTCAAAATTCTAATGTTAAAAAACAAAAATTATGTATGTATTTTTAACATCTATACAACCTTTCAGCATGGTCTCACGTTGCTCATCTTCTCAGGGACTGCAGTACCTGCTGCAGAGCTGAGGCCGCTGAGGTCTGGAGGGTAACCTATCTGGGGTCGGGGGCATGCAAACTAGAAATTGTACGGCTGGGTCTCAAAGCCAGTTCTTACTCATAACCCCATGCTCTACAAACCACATTCTATAGGGACACATGATCAGAACAATATGCACAGCTACTGCTTAGTAACTGGGGCCAACTGGCCTTGTTACACACAGGCCTGGCTGAGGGCGGGCAATATGCTAAGAACTAAAAAGGGCAAGTGGCTTCATGGAGGGAGAGAAGCATATCCCAAAGGCACTTACTGTACTGGCACTCACAGTGCCTGCCACATGCTGGGCATACAATAAATATGGAGTGAGTGAACTGACACATAAAGGAATAAAAGAAAAGAAAGGTCCAAGACAGCAGTAGGGCTGAGTGGCAACTTGGCGACCTGGCTCACCCTGACTTATTCTTCATTTAAGGCAAAGATGAGCCATGCTCAGTTACTCAGAAGCTGCCTAATAATGCTAGGATAGGCCTGAAATTTGACCTACAAATTAGGCAAAAGCATTGTTCTGGAAAAAAAAAAAATGTGGTCCACATAAGAACCAGCATCTTTATCAGAATGCAAATGCTTGGGCCTTCCCCACTGAGATTCCTATTCAGTAGGTCTGCTGCAGAGCCAGGTAGATACATTTTAAACCCCTAGAGTCCAGAGGGGCTTCTCTGATCATAACCACAACTTGGCTCAAAACATTTAAGCTTTAGAGAACCTAGTCAGAAAAATAAAAACTCATCCAAAACCCTATGAAGCCAACCCAGTCCTATCCTAGCTGGGCACCACTGCCCGACAGTGTTCTCTTTCCTCCTCTGCTCACCTGGTGACATAAAGCACTTGTGACTAACCTTGTGAATTTGCACATGGTTGCAGCCTGGAACTTCCAAGCTAAGAGCAGCACTCGAAATTCTGTGGGGTCGACACACAGGTCATTGCAAAAGCGCTCCATCCCTTCCTCCAAAATTGCATCTTCCCGCTCATCCTTGTAGCGCCTGAACAGTTCTTCCAACCTCTGCAAGGAAGACTCCTCGGCATTGGACTTGGACTCCCTCCCAGCATCTCCCGAGGACATTGGCAGCTGGCAGGCCTCGGTGGCAGCCTCGGCCTTCTTGGTCCCATTGACGAGGATATCTCCACCTGGCTTGCCACAGGGTGGTACCTGCTCCTCACGGTGGCCTGCACCCCGCCTGCTGTGTGACTTGTTGCTGGGGTCACGGTCTCCATTCTTGCTGCCCAGAGTCGATGAGGGATTCTTGCACTTGGTGACACACTGGCCCATGGTGCTGGTGGCCCAGCCTCTAGAGTGGCCCCCTTTGGATTGGATGCCCTCGCTGCCACTGGCCCATGTACCTCAACATGCCATCAGCCAGAGGAGCCAGCCAACCTGGAAGGAAATTAGAAAGCCATCACTTCTGGGCAGGAGAAATGGGGTATGGACCCTACCTTCTAGGAACTGCGCACTGGTTCACCGGTCTATTTCCATGAGCCAACAATGAACCAAGGGAGAGACCCCAAGTTCATCATCTCCTTCACAGGCCAGCTCTGTAACTTCACCTTGGCGACGCAGTGGCTGGGGCACATATGGAGAACCAATGAGGGAAATTCCTAAAATTCTTAAGGTAAAATCGGTTTCAAAGAGGCTGATTCATATGTAGAATGCATCAAAGACTACAGTTTGACAGGAATATTCCAGAGGAAATCTGTCTTGCCAACTTGCCATCATGTAAGAAAAGTTATGTGGACTTGGATTAAGCCAGAAGGCACAAAGAAAGGGTTCATCTTCTAGTTCCTAATGCCAACATTCTCAGATTTTCTTTTTAAGTAGGATGAGTAAGGAGGAGAGGTGGCCATATTCAGAACAACAGTCTCATAATGGCCTAACGACGAGGTTGTCAAGACTACAAGCAGGGGCCTAAGCCAAGTAGCAAAGTGAAATTTGCCTCTGATCTGTCCAGATTCCTTTCTGGGCCTATCTGGCACCAAGGTGAAATGCCCTTTCTCTGCCCTACTCCATCCACCTATAGAAACCATCCACCAAGCCTGTACTCCAAACCAAGTTTTTCAACCAAGGAGCTTCTTTTTCTCCCCCACATCCTCAGCAAGGCTGTACTTAGAATGGAAGCCAAGTTACAATAAATGTGATTGTCCTGTAGGGCCTATGGGCTGAGTTGTCCAAAGAAGCATTTCTCCACTTTAAAAGAAGGACTGGGGCTGGGTGCAGTGGCTCATGACTATAATCCCAACATTTTGGGAGGCCAAGGTAGGTGGGCAGATAGCTTGAGTTCACGAGTTCATGACCAGTCTGAGAGACATAGCAAGAGCCCGTCTCTACGAAAAATAGAAAAAAATTAGCCAGGTGTGGTGATGCACGCCTGTAGTCCCAGCTACAAGGGAGGCTGAGGTGGGAAGATCAACTGAGCCCAGGTCACAGCTGCAGTGAGCTGGGATAATGCCACTCCACTGCAGCCTGGGTGACAGAGTAAGACCCCGTGTTAAAAAATTGAAAAAATTACTGGTACAAAAACAGGCACACAGACCAATAGAGCAGAATGGAGAGCCCAAAAATAAGGCCGCACATCTACAACCATTTGATCTTCAACAAAGCTGACAAAAACAAGCAATGGGGAAAAAGACTCCCTATTCAATAATTGGTGCTGGGATAACCAGCTAGCCATATGCAGAAGACCAAGGCTGGACCCCTTCCTCACACCATATACAAAAATCAACTCAAGATGGATTGAAGACTTACATATAAAACCCCAAACTATAAAGATCTTAGAAGATAACCTAGGCAATACCATCCTTGACACAGAACCAGGCAAAGATTTCATAACAAAGATACCAAAAGCAATGGCAACAAAAGCAAAAATTGAAAAGTGAGATCTATAACAATTAAACTTAAGAGCTTCTGTATAGCAAAATAAACTGTCAAGAGAATAAATAGACATCCTACAGATTGGGAGAAGAAATTTGCAAACTATGCGTCTGACAAATGTCTAATATCCATTATCTATAAGGAACTTAAGTTTACAAGAGAAAAACAACTCCATTAAAAAGTGGGCAATATACATGAATAGACACATCTCAAAAAAAGACATACATGTGACCAAGAAGCATAGCAAAAGAAGCTCAATATCACTGATCATTAGAGAAATGCAAATCAAAACCACAATGAAATACAATCTCACACCAGTCAGAATGGCTATTATTAAAAGTAAAAAAAAAAGTAACAGGTGCTGGTAAGGTTGTAGAGAAAAGGGAACACTTATACGATGCTGGTTGGAGTGTAAATTACTTCAACCACTGTGGAAAGGAGTATGATGATTCCTCAAAGAGCTAAAAACAGAATTATCATTCAACGTAGCAATCTCATTATTGGGTATATACTCAGACAAATCAAAGCCATTCTAACATAAAGACACACACATGTGAACATTCACTGTAGCACTATTCACAATAGCAAAGATGTAGAATCAACCTAAATGCCCATCAATGACAGGTTAGATAAAGAAAACGCAGTATATATACACCATGGAATGTTATGCAGTCATAAAAAAGAACCAGGTCATGTCTTTTGTGGGAACATGGATGTAGCTGGAGGCTATGATCCTCAGCAAACTAACACAGGGACAGAAAACCAAATAGCACATGTTCTCACTTATAAAGTGGAAGCTAAATGATGAGAACTCATGAACACAACGAAGGAAATGACAGACACTGGGTTCTACCTGATGGGGTAAGGGTGGAAGGAGGGAGAGGAGCAGAAAAGACAAGTACTGAGTTCTGGGCTTAATACCTGGATGATGAAATAGTAAGTACAACACACCCCCATGACACGTTTACCTATGTAACAAACCTTAAAATATACCCCCAAACCTAAAATGAGAATTTAAAAAAGTTCACCATAAATAAATAAATGCTCAAAATATTCAGGAAAAAAAAAGAAAAAAACTGAAAAAAATTGGGAAAAGAAAAAAGGACTGATTTACTCAACTATAATCTCTAAATGGTAGGATAATTGCTAGATGAAAAAGAAAAGTTTGCACTGATACATAATAAATTCATCATGGTGGCTTATTAATTATTTATATAATTTAAAAGTGTTTTTTTAAACAAATTGCTGGACATTTTGCCAGAGGTAAGATGATTTCTCCAAGATGACTCTGTCTACCCAGGACTCATATTCCTACCTTCAACTGGTTTGTTGGAAAATCCATATACAATTTAGTATTTATAAAACTTTGCCAACTGCTATAATAATGGCAGCCACTGATATTATGTTGTTAATGAAACATGGACCAGGAGCCACAAGTGCAATAGGAAACAGACATTAAACAAAAGTCGACATCAGTCACCCAGGCCTCCCCGGTTCTAGGGAGATTTCATGGACCTCTATGATCCAATCTGAATGATCCTAGGGAACAGGCAGTGGGACAAAAGGGTGGTTTTTATGATGGCTGCAGCTGTAAACTTTACCTAAAATACTTGTCTTCCTCCAAATAGTGCCTGGATAAATTGGGGGTTGTCTTCAAGAGGAATTCTCTCTGAGGATAAGCTCTGATTATACAGTAAGTTTAAAATGAAGAGCACAATCATTCCTGTAGTTATTAGAGATGATCATATCAAGGCCTGTCCCATTCTCCAATCTCAGAGAGAAAAATGACAGAAAGACATTTTCCAAACATGTCCTCAAAGACCTGTAGCAGTTTTACTTAGGCATCTTAGACACTGAAGCTCTTAGAAGAGCTTTTGGGATGGAAAGTAACCACCCTAAGGAAGTTCTTTAGAAGACTTTTTATGCTTTAAGACTACAGCTAGTAAGCCATAAGTACAACTCATTACAATTTCAAATGGCAAGGGGTTAATTCTTGGAAGACCATGGTACAAGGGAAGCAACTGTGCAAGCTGAATTATCTCAAAACAAGGACTGTACCATGTGGAGGGCCTGGTTTCCAGATTTGTGTTTCTAAAGACTAGAATGCTGAAAGAAACAAAAGGCCCAAACTTACACAAACCCCACATGCTCACAGACTGGCAACTCTAATTCCCAGGCACGCTGACTCACCAGGGTTTGCTGCTCAGCTCCTGCTGCTGAGGGAGGAATGGGCACCCAGTGAGATAAGAGGATTTCCTGGCCTCCATCTGACCCACCTACCCCAGGCCATTCACCCTGCCCCCACTGGGCAGATGCTTCATCATAGCAGCTTCCTCCAAATCCTGGTGCCAAGGCCTTCAGGTAGGGACAGAACAGATGGGGCTCTCAAAGAGGCCCTAATCCCATTTAGCCAACTGCCCCTTCATGTAAGAGCATCTTTTGATTACCTGACACAGCAGAACCAGCTGAAACCTGAAAGCTTTTAACATGCCCAGCAGATTAAAAAAAGGAGATGAAAATCAGTTCCAACAGATGATCAATCAGCAAATGCCAGAAGGTTGGATCCTTCTTTCATTCTGGTCCCTTTCTTTGAAATGCCCCCATTCCACTGAGTGTTGAGGCGAGTAGTGGTCTAAAGCCAGAAGAAAATATCTCTAGATCTGATGAGTATGGTCCCCTGATTACTCTGATTACTGCCCAATGATCTATCTTCTTCTGTGTCTACTCCCTTCTCTGGGAAAATACTTTTGCTCTCCCAGAGCTTTCCTCAGGTTCAATCACAGTGCCCAACCCCGTGGCCCAGGCTGGCAGCACTTCAAGTGTTTTAAAGTTGAAGGTCTCCCCTAGATTCACTAGCTGTTAGCTAATAATAGCAGTCATCAATTATTGAGCACTTGATATGGTGCCAGGCACTATGCTAAGCACTTTTAGGGACATGAACTCACATATACTCATCATAACCCCATTTAAAACCAAGGAAACTGAGGCTGAGGAAAATAAATTACCCAAGATCACATGTCTGGCTCAAGAAACCATGACATTACCCCTAGGCTAGATTCCTGAGCCCACCCACAGCAGAGCACCTAGAGAGAACACACGACAGACAGGCCCCAAGTTCAGGAGTGACACCACAGCAACCCCAGAGCAGCAAATCTCACTGTCAGCCACTGGAGAAAGAACACATGTCTGTGCTTGGTGTTCAAAAAGGATCTCCTACTCACTGCCCTCTCCGTGGCCCTCCTGCCATGATCCAGGCAGGTACCATGCGCCTGGGCTCAACCCTACCAGATGTGGAAACTAGAATTAGTCCAGATGTCCTAAACCTGTGACGTTTTAGTCCACCAGCATGGTTAAAAGCTCCAGCTCTGAAAAGGAAGGCCAACTGCACCACTGGCTAATTGTCTGATCCTAATGGAAGCCTGAATTTCCACAATCTGCAAAATGGTTTCTGCCTGACGGAGCTCTTGAAAGAATTCAGCGAGGACATGCAGATAAAAGGTACAAGGCTT